GATACTCAATTTCCAATAATTAATTGTCTTATTGAAATCTTATTGAATGTGATTAAGCTTTGTTCATAAGTATATTCTAGAATATTCCATGCCAATGTATCAATGCACTTAAGTACAACAACCATTCCCATACCGTGGGAAATCATTCTTCAAAATAACTCCGCCTCCACCTCATCCCCGGGATAGCTGGCTATTATGGATATGGTGAGGGGAACCGGGAGGCTTGGTTGCATTCGCGTTTATGTTGATGGCGTGCTTGTAATTGCTGAATAAAGGTTTAATTACCCAAGTTTGAGGTTTAATCACCTAAGTTGAGTGAAAACAATTCAAGAAGAATTTCAAGAACTCCTAGTTATTATCGCGGACAAGAAAGAATCTACGACAACCTGTTTTCATCTAAAAATGGTTATTAAGCTACAGATAATGATATTTTGAGGATGTGAATTTCTGATTTGATAAATCCACTCTTTTTTCATTCTGATCCCAAGATTGAATTTCTTATTATGTTGAAATAAGCTTAAAGATGTTATGATTATCAGCAATTAGAAACGATATTACTGCAGTAATCCGACCACTGTTGCAAGTAGCATACCAGATTATATGATAGTCTCATCGTTGATTAATTAAAATGATTCGTTATCCAATATTGCTCGAATTTAAAAACCTTTCGAGCAAGGAATGGAACTAATAGAACAATTGAAGTCAAGTTATTTGAACTGAACAAAAGTTAGTTTTATTAAGCTGTCACACTGATATCCAAAAAAAGCATATGGAAGCATTTGTATCGTAATCTTAATTAACAAAAATAAAAATAAGAAAGCAGACTAGCATAAATCAGCAGAGGTTAACAAAATCACAAAAAAAAAGGAAAAAAAAGGTTTAATGCTGACATTAGCCGTAGAAGAGATATCAGTTATGCTTTAGGTTGGTTGCAGCATGCATTAGCACTGTTGCGTGCTGGATTAAAATAGCATGCGTGGATGATAAGGAAAGAAGTATATTGCAGTCATGCTCACCACTAACTCTCATTAATTAATATTTCATGCATTTGCATAAGAAATACCAATATGACAAATGATCGAATATCATTCATTAGGAACCTAACTTGCTGGCTCATACTTGTATCGGTCCGTACAGTTCATCTGATGGTTTAGCCAATACACATTTTGTTTGGCCGATGCACACCACTAGGTTTGGCCATCATTTTTTCGTCCTAAAAGAAATTTTTGAGAATATATCGAAATATCTTTAAAAGAAAGGTCAAAGTTCCTGTGAGAATCAATACAGCAACTGGTACATGCATATGGGAAAAACAACAATCAATCACATGTTTATGAGGAAAATAATTAAATTTAAGGAAGCATTGTTTGAGTAATTTGTTATGCCTGGCTTAGTACTTTCAACAATTCGTTCAGCAGAAAGTTTTATTAGGAATCTGCCAATTCTTTTTTTCGGTTTTAATTAAGGCATAAATAATCTACAAAGATAGAAGCAAGAAAAAAGTTTTCCTGAGAATTGAAAAAAAATGATGTGTGGAGATATGTTTGAAAAATTGGAATCAGCAGAGAATCTTCAAATTAGTTATTTCCAAGACCTTTTTTAAATCAAATTTAGTGTTGCAGTAAAATGTTTAGAGTGATTTTTGGACGATTAGAATGATTTCAGAACATCAATGATGACACCAAGTAATAAACATATTCTTTTAGTTTAAGAAAAACCATTACTAAAATCCCATCCGTTTGTGAATCATTACTTTCTCTATAAACGTAAGAGGAAAGAAAATCAGAGGAATGTGGTAAAATCAATGAATACTATTAACAGCTAAGAGAAACTGGAGAAATTTATTCGTACAGCAGTGCAAAAATCAATAGAAATGGTTGAGAAATCATTCGAAATAATAATGTGATTTATAGTGCTATTGTTGTCATTTACAGTCTGCTAAAAATTTCATTTTTGTGTATAATATAGTGGAAAAGTATAAACAATCTTTTAATGTTAACAAGTAAAAGATTGATATTAGGACTAGTAAAGTATCAAATATCATCATCTCATTTGTTTCATCTAGTTTTGCAAGAGCTCAACTTTCAATCTTTGTTTATCCATTTCGATTGTTCCATCTCTTTTTATGCTTTAATCTTGTGTATTCATTTAGGATTACGGCGCTTTATTGACATATCTTCAAGTCTATCTCTAAAATCCTTAATTCATATACTATTTTTATTTTTAAATTCTTCATTTATTTTTTAATAAAGAAACAGTTTAATGAATGATACCCTCATAAAAAGTCAAATGGCTGCAGAATTGATTGCTGGGATATTTTCAAATCATTAGATACTAAACCAAGGGTGGGCAATTAATTTACTGAGAAATTAGGTAGTTCTCGAGGGCTGGACTAATATACTTAAGTCGGTTCTATCCAATACCGTATCCATGTACGTATATTAATATATACTATTCCTTCATAAAAAACAATAAATGAAACATTGTAATGGATTCACTGATTTCATCATTATTTAATGTTGAGATGATGAATTTGTGAAGATTAACTGGCTTTAACGCTGGAGGATTTTAATTTGAGGCACGGGAAGAGAGGCGAGATGGAGGCGGCATTTCTCGCGGTTCCGTGGGCAGAAAAAATTTGCTGGAGGGCCGTCAAATGCCTAGATTAACTCTAAACAATGTTGCTTAAATATCGGATAATTCTCTATTCTTCATAAATACTTTTCTTCTCATAAAATGAAGTATTAGCAACGCTTTATTTCAGAGTCTTTCTTACAAATCGTTTCATTAATATACTTACACATTTATACTTTTACATTACTCTACTTCACATACTTCAAGTTATCATATCCTAATCTTCTTTCTATCCCATTCATTCGATTATATTTGTATTGTATTAGTACCGGCGGTAAGTATCAATATCAGTACAATTAAGTCACATTAAATTACGAATTTTATACATACTTAATCGTCTTCCAATGATCGTTCATCATTAAGTATGCAAATGAATGATGCCGATTTGAAACAATCGCTTCGTTAATGGTGTAAAGAGGAGAGAGAGGGAGAGAGAGAGGGAGGGAGGGAGAGGAGGGAGGAGAGG